ACCACTCTAATGGTATCATTACCTTGTCCTAAAAAGTACTTGAAATACCATCTGGTGTGATATTCTGGGTTCTCTAGGTGCACGTCTGTTCTTCGCCAAGTACCTGGCAGAGCAGTTGCATTCTGTAATGGAACAAAGTTGAGCCATTAAGAGGCTTACTCAGAAAGCAAACAAGAAATCAAATAGCTGGCAATGAACCAGAAGCCAAAGAAGCAGGAAAATCATTGTCGAAAGTGTACAAGCAAGGACAGGAGCCATGTGTTCTCATTAGTAAAGATGTCCGGGGGAAGTCTACGTCACAAACACATTCTTGGAAGTCCATCGGGAACAAGAACTCAGTGAACCCGTGGGGGCAGCTATTTCAAACTTGGTTTGAGTACAAAGTACCTCTCTTTCTGGTCCAAAGTCTCTACAATATTTTGGCGTTGGTGCTTGTTAACCCTGCAATAGGCATTTATCACTTAGGACACATCTCTGCAGTATCTTATTCAGGTTCATATTCTTTGTAGAATCTAAAGTAATTATTATACAAAAGAAAACTTAAAGACTGTAGAAATTATGGTGAAGGCTGTGAATAATCTAAAGCCTCTATCCAACGTAATCATCATTAATATTTGGGTATGGTTTCTTATAATATATATATTTTTGCTTTGTGTAGATACATGTGTATTTTTCTTGCCAAAAGGAATATACAGTTTTGTAGCTTGCTTTTTTTCACTTAATTTATTTTTCCGTGCCAACAAATATATGTCTATGCTTCCTTTTAATGGCTATAAATTCTTCTATCAATGAACAATTTAATAATACTAGACAATTAGGCTACTTCCAATAGTTTCTCATAAATGAAATAGTGATGGCCATCCTTTACCTCCACACTTGCATCCTTGCTTACCCAGTTGTTTCCTTAGGATAAATTCTTAGAAGTTGCTACATAAAACCTCCTCCCTGGGGGACAGACAACAGAAGTGTGGGTGAAGGGAGACGTCGGATAGGGCAAGATATGACACAATAATAATTTATAAATTATCTAGGGTTCATGAGGGAGTGGGAAGCGGGAGGGAGGGGAAAAATGAGGAGCTGATGCCAGGGGCTTAAGTGGAGAGCAAATGTTTTGAGAATGATGAGGGCAATGAATGTACAAATTTACACAATTGATGTGTGTGTGGATTGTGATAAGAGTTGTATGAGCCCCTAATAAAATGATTATATATAAAAACTTCTTAGAAGTTGCTTTGGCAACAATACGTACATGACTAAGGATTTGCTACCTAATGCGAATCTGACATCTAGGAATGCTGGAACAAAATGATAGTTTTGCCAGCAATGGTTGAGGATTTTCCCTTCTGATACCCTGACATTTAATCTCTACAACTTATTTATTTTTCCAATGGCTTTCTTAAGCTACTATTAACATATCAAAACCAGTTTAATCATATTAAGAAGGGTTGTGCAATCATTACCGCAATCAATCAACTTTAGAACATTTTCTTCCTTCTAGTACCCATTGCTGTTGACACCCATTTCCCCCCAACCTCCCCTTCCATGCCCCAGGTAATTGTTATACGGCTTCTGTCTTCATAGATCCCCCCATCCTGACTTCCCTATTCAGAAAAACATACAAAACAAAGATACAAAACTAAAAAGGACCCAGAAGCAATGACCAAGTAAACCACAGA